ATTACTGGCATTGAAGTTTGACTTTTGTTTGTTTGTTGTGCTTTATAGAGTATGTTACTTGGGGAAAGTATAAGCTCTTTTTTCTTTGCAACACCTCTTCCCTTCTCTTATCTGCTGCCAAATATCTGTGTAATTTTGGATTTGTTAACTCATTTGTTTGACAAATATTGAACCTTATCTTCCTAGGAACTTAGACCTGCATCCTATAGGTGCAGAAGGAGGCCAAGTTCTAGTGCAGGGAGACATCCACTTACATCATAGGCGTGTCACTTCAAATCAGACACAGGAACTATGTTGGAGCCAGAAGAGGAAGGAGATATTTGTGTCTGGAAGACAGAAGGAAAGCAAGGGAGGCTCTGAGATGGAGGAAATGCAGGGAGGAGGAATGGGAGGCTAGTATATCTCCCAGCTTCCTAGAGGAACAAAATTTAAAATGCTGGATATATTTTAAGAGAATTATCAAGTAGATGAAGCCAACTCTGTAAGTTGTGAAACATAAAAATCATGGTTCATTGGCCAGGCACGAGGCCTCACGCCTGTAATCCCAGCACTTTGGGAGGCCGAGGCTGGTAGATCATGAGGTCAGGAGATCGAGACCATCCTGGCTAACACAGTGAAACCCTGTCTCTACTAAAAATACAAAAAATTAGCCGGGTGTGGTGGTGGGTGCCTGTAGTCTCCGCTACTCGGGAGGCTGAGGTGGGAGAATGGTGTGAACCCAGGAGGCGGAGCTTGCAGTGAGCCGAGATTATGCCACTGCACTCCAGCCTGAGTGACAGAGCGAAACTCCATCTCAGAAACAAAAACAAAAACAAACAAAAAATTCATAGTTCATTTTTTTTTTCACAGCAGTTTAAAAGATCTCAAGATTTTTGTTGACAAAAAATAAAACAAGGAAAACTATGTCCAGTGGATGAGATGGGCCTGAGTTCCCAGTGTGCATCATAAGGAGACACAGAGTGCCAGCACTCCATGGTGTTAGGGCCACACACATCCCTCCCACCCCCAGAAAGAAATGGTACCTGTGGTGGATTTGATTCTTTTCCAAATTTTCCACCTTCTCCATCAATTCATGATGTAATCCAATTGTACATCCACAGCCTTCCCACATGACTCCTGGAAGAGCTGGTGGCACATACGTCCTCTCACCATTGACATTAGGTTTAGCCATGCAACTTGCTTGGTTGATAGGAGCTTAGTGATTGTGATACAGGTAGACCTTTTAAATGTGCTTGGGTTTTGCTTGCACTTAAATGTGCTTGGGTTTCATTTACACTTCTGTCATCTACTGTGAGAAGGACATGCCCTTGAATGAAACGCGCATGTATGAAAATAAAAAGATGTGAAGGTTATCAGTCTGGAAGAGCTATAACCCCAAATTATCTCAGTGATCTTTTTTTTTTTTTTTTTTGGTAGCAGCTTTATTCAGATATAATTCAATACCCTAGATATCAACCATTTAAAGTATACAATTGACCAGGTGCAGTGGCTCATGCCTGTAATCCCAGCACTTTGGGAGGCCAAGGTGGGTGGATCATGAGGTCAGGAGATGGAGACCATCCTGGCTAACATGGTGAAATCCCATCTCTACTAAAAATACAAAAAATTAGCCAGGCGTGGTGGCACGCACCTATAGTCCCAGCTACTTGGGAGGCTGAGGCAGGAGAATCCCTTGAACCCGGGAGGCAGAGGTTGCAGTGAGCCGAGATCGTGCCACTGCACTCCAGCCTGGGCGACAGAGAGAGACTGCTTCTCAAAAAAAAAAAAAAAAAAAAAAAAAAGTGTACAATTAGCTAGTTCTTTATATAGTCACAGTGTTGTGCAGCCATCACCATAATCAATTTTAGAACATGTTCGTAACCTCCACAAAAACCCCATACCTTTAATGATTACCTCCCACTCCCCCAACTCCTAACCCTCTCTCCAGTCTTAGGCAATCAATCATCTACTTTCTGTCTCTATGGATTTGCCTGTTCTGGACAGTTCATATAAATGGAATCATACAATAGGCAATATTTTGTGCCAAGCTTCATTCACTTAGCATGTTTTCAGGATTTATCTGTGTTGTATCATGTATCAGTACCTTATTTCTTTCCATTGCCAAATAATATTCCATTGTATGGATATACCAGATTTTATTCATTGATTCATTTGCTGATGAACTTAGTGGTACTTTTGACATAACTGTTAAAATACATAGAAGAAATAAGAGAGGTTAAATGTGCTTTTGACTTCATAGGACAAATGACTTTATTGCAATGTACTGTTCCATCCATGCATCAGTTCCGTTTCTCATAGTAAATAAGTTGGCATATGATTTACTATAAGTCTGTCTGAGACTTACTTGCATTAACCAGTGTCCCCAGGTATAACCAGCTTGCAATCATAGACAAAGTGATGTTTCTGTAGAGCTGACGCCAGAGTCTAGATGGCTACATTTTCCAAGGCAAATGCTCCTTCAGATACGGGGGGTCCAGTTGATCTTTCTGGGCCACTACCTGTGATGTTTATTATGGGATTAAAAAATTCTACATAGTTTATGAAGTCTGAAAGTTTCTTGCCTCGAAACACAGGTAATTAAATCATTACTTTTATCTGTTCCCCTGTGTGTGATGATAGTATCAGAAATCTCAGTGTTATTTCTTCCTTCCTGGCCTGAATTCTTGGACATCTCTATTTTATTGAGCTTGTAGGTTTACCAATGCCCAGATTCAAATACATCTGTGTATATCACTCACATTCCACCAAGGAGCTCTCTCATCTGGATGATAATGAAGACACCACAGTGAGTAAGGGGACCGTGGAATCCTGCCAGGCCCAAAATGTGACATGTAAGACTAGAGCAATTTTCTGTGGAGTGGTGACAGTTAACCATAGGGATGGAGTAAATATCTCAAGAGTGTGCACTATGAAAAAAACCCAGTATTTTGTCTCATTGCTTTGATTTATTTTCAGCCCAATATTTAGTTTAGATTAAATGTCAATTATTATTAAAGGAGGGCAAGAGGACTTTATCTTATCAAAAGTATTCAGAGGAAGGAGGAACATTGGTTTAGAAAGGCTAAAAAATACTGTATTAAAATAAACTCCACAAAGGTAATAAACCCAAGTGCCTACAGGACCAGACAGGAACAGCCAGTCAGATAGAAGAATTGGAATGGACTTGGGCCACGATCTCTTATGATAAGCTGATAAAATTAAACATAAATGATCAAATGGTGGGTAAAAATATACTTAGACATTATGAAATTTACTCTTGAGCAACCCTTTGATAAAAGAGAAAATTGAAAGGTAAATTATAAAGTATCTAGGAAGCAAGGGAAAGTAGAACAGTTTGTGTGAATCTGGGACAGAGTAAAAGCTGTACTCAGAAGAAAAAGTATAGCCTGAAATGCCTATATCAGCAAACTTTTTCTGTAAAGGGCAAGAGCTTTGTGGACCCTATTGCCTCTGTTGAAGATTCCTTTTGGTTTTATTTACAACACTTTAAAATGTAAAAACAATTCTTAGTCCCCAAGTTGTACAGAAACAGGTTGTGGGTCTGATTTGGCCCATGCATAATAGTGTGCTGACCCTTGCTTTTATTATTATAATGGACAAAAAGATTAAAAAAAAACCTAAGTAATAACCTTAAGAAATTAGAAAAATGATGACAACAATGCCACAAAACACAGGAAATTATAAAGTGAAATTAATAAAGACAAAAGCTGAAACAAATGATATATGGAATAAAAAAATATAGGAAGAATGAATAAATCCAAAAGATGGTTGTCAAGACAAGTGAAATAGAGGATCCCTTTGAAGTTAGACTAAGAAAACAGGAGAGAATAAAAATATACAATATTAGCAATGAGAAAGGGAGACATGGATACGGGAAAGATTAAAAATAAAATCTAAGAGAACATCGCATACAGCTCTTTGACAATAAATTTGAGCATCTAAAATAAATGATTTCCTAGCAAACACTAACAAAATTGATTCCAGAAGAAATGAAAACTCGAGTGGGCCAATTACTATAGAAGAACATTGATTAAAGATTTACCATTGAAAAAGGCACCAGAATTAGATGGGTTCACAAAAACAAGTAATTTAGTTTTTAAAATAACATTCAAGCAATAGAAAAAGGAAAAAAGTTCAGTAAGTTTCTTTGCTTAGACAATAAAGAGCTGAAAGTTCGAGCACAGGAGTGGTAAATTGCCTTGAGTGCCAGCTTGCAGCAATGGGTAGTGAAAGAGATTATGAGGCCCAGTTGAGATCCAGTGGGAAAAAAACTGGGAATTAGTTTGCCATTCCTGACTCAGCTTGGAATATAAAGTCAAATGGATCTTATGTGATATTTTCTGCAGAGATAGCCAGGAATTACTCTATTGATGTCCTATGGATTTCTGATCAATTTATTTGAGAAAACTTCTACATTCAGTAATTTACATCCCTCTAATGACCATTCAGTAGCCACATGAATATCATCTAGATTAGGCTCCCAAACCCAAATTGAACTTTGCATTAATTATCAGTGCTGTGGGGGGTAGCAGATGGATCAGAGAAGCCTGTGTTTACAGAGCTGAAGAACTCATGGAATATTTCCCAGTGAGAGGACCATCATAAGAAGGGTTGTCTTCCTTGCCTTTGCTGATTTGTAGCCGAACAGAAATCCTTCCGTTTCATTCATTGGTCTAACCGTGATCTCGGGGCTTTATTTTCCTAATTCGCCAAATACAAACGCAACTGGACAACATCTCTTCCACTCTTAAAGGGCAGCTTATTCAAGTGGCTCTGCTGACCAACCCTACCTGGGCTTCCCCAAGTCCATCACAGCTACCCCTGCAGGTGGAAAGAGCAAAAAAAGCCAGACACAGCAGTAAGGAAGGAAGGAAGAAAGAGGAACTGCCACTGCAATGAGTAAATCTTCATTATTATAAAAAAGGGAATCATCACTTTACTATCCTCATTTTTATGATGAAGTAAAATAAAATGGAAAGGAAGAGCGAGAGAAATGATTGCTTGGTAAACGGCCTCAAACCTAGCACGTGTTTATTTAAGCGTCTCTGCAAACATAACCCGGGGTGTCCGTTAAATCAGCAGGCATGTCAGTTGGCACTTCTGGTTACAGACCATTTTACGGCCATACATCATTCACAGCCGTAAAAGCCATTTGCCCTCTGTCACCCACCCAATCAGGATCCAGCCAAGAGGAAGCTGAGCAGGAGCCTGGCAGTTTTCTTCGGGCTCCTCTGCGTTTCCGCAACCTGGTTCAGGAGAATGTCACAAAAAATTAACTCCCCTGGGTTATCAAGGACCCCTCCCCACTAAGGAGCAATATAGAATTTCAGGGTAATGTTTACCCCTCCCCAAGCAACACCTTGTGATGTGCCAGAAGAGGCAGAAGCGCAGCAGGCATCACACACAAGGCCTGGGTAGCACCTGCTGCTTTGAACCGTTGGAATGAAAGGCCGAGGAGGGGTCGCTGCCCGTCCACGCTTCGGCGATTCACTCCCGCTGCCCGCTTGGAGCAGACTTGAAATTGATGTCAGCGTCTAAGCCACCCAGCGAGTGACCTTGGGCTGCCCTTGCTTCACTCTTGCAAGTTCCCATTTTTTCATTCCTGCTTCCTCACTATCATTTCGTTACTGAAACCAAGATGCCTGCCGAGGCCTGCCGACTACCTGGGCCCTGCTAACCACGTGTCTTTGGGTCCTTCCCACACCCTTTGCCTGCGGGATGGGATTTCACTTGAAATGCCTCTCCAAATCTGTGTTCTCTTTACATCTATTATTTGTTAACTCTTTCTTATGCACTTCCTCACTTATGAATAAAGCCCAGCAGCAGTTGTCATAACCCCAGTGGGTGCTGGGACAGCCCCATCTGGTCCCCCACTCTATCTCTGTTTGGACATTTCGCGTATCTTCCCGCCTCTCCAGTCGTAACAGGCTAGGATCAATTTTCCAGTGGCAGCTTGGAAATAATAGTACAAAATGTATATTAATACAGAAATATATTGTGAAACTGTCCTTAAACAAACAAATGAGCCACTTTAAAATATTACTGCTATAAATGACCATGACAGTAGCACAGCACATATAATAAAAAATAACTGCTGAAGAGAAGCTGCTGAATTACTATAGTAATAAACCAGATGTGATTATTATCATTTAACACGGTCATTGAATACCATGAATCCCTGAAGCCATTAAAATATTTATGATTAAACATTTGCTATTCCTTATAACAGAACATATAGTTGGGTACTAAAAAACTGTTAAAGTATTATTTCAGCTAATATATGCCAGTTCTATAATAGAGGTCAACCAAGATTGCCTGAATCCTTCAAAAGAGGGACAAACAGCTGCCTCTCCGTATCTTGACATATTGCAGGATGTTTATGCTAGTATTATATACTCTCTTGGTACCGGGTAGCGTGTATCAACTATACACTACTAAGCTGGAAATATGTCCCTCTTCTATACGTTCATGGACAGATGTGGGCTTGGAGACTGTTCTAGTCATTCTAGAGAAAAAGCAGATGGAGCAGATGCTTTCAAAGCCCTGTTCATAGCCTCTTGGCACTCATCTCGAGCATCCTACAGCAAGTGTCTCCACCAGTAGACCTCCACCCACGCCTGAAGTACCAGGGGATTAATGCCCCTGTGAGTAGCCCTCAACTATGGCAGGTGGAAGTTGGAGAATAAATATCTTGGCCACATTTATGGACATACCTCTTGCTTGAAATCAGTCCCCTGGCTGTGCTCTGGATACCCTGGTTGCTTCCCAGATGATTGTTTTCAGTTAAAATTATAGGTGGGAAGATGGCTTTAGCCCGGGAGTTTGAGACCAGCCTGGGAAACATAGGGAGACCCCCATCTCTCCATAAAAGGAAAGACAAGAAAAATATTAGGTGTGGTGGCAAACAGCTGCAGTCCCAGCTATTCAGGAGGCTGAGCTGGGAGAATCACTTGAGCACGGGAGGTCAAGTCTGCAGTGAGCCATGATCCTGTGCACTGAATCCAGCCCAGGTGACAGAGCAAAACCCTGTCGTATCAAAAACAAAAACAAAAGCAAAAACAATGGAAAACTTCAGTTAAATATAAAGCGGGGTTTCTTGTGCTGAAGAAAAATATTACAATCAGTGTCTTAAGTTTAATGAGATACTTCTGCACGCGGGGCCAGTCTTCCAGGGTGTCTGCTTCTTGTCTCTTGCTCCATTTCCAGGTCCGGCTTCATCAGTGGGCAGGGGTTGATGCCAGGAAGGAAACTCATCCACTGGACGTCCTGTCCTGGTAGCAGCCCAGGAGTGGGCGGACTCTGTGTTAGAAAGAAGAACTGAGTGAGAATTCATCACCATCACTTGGGGCTTATCTGAATATTTCGAATATTCACATTATCTTTGCCATAAAATCCAGAATTGGCTATTTATTTTCAGATGAATGCTGACAGTAAGGGCAATAAGGGCAATAAGGGCCTTTCCTTATATCTTTAGGGATATATGTTATCCAAAAAATAAAGTGCTTGAATTGTTGAACTCTAATAAGGAACAATATGGTGAAAAGAAAAAAGGCGGGAATTTTGGGGAGAGACCTGGATTTCAGTTCTATATGAAGCATATGTTATGTAACTCTTTCAATCTTCCTAATTTCCCAGAACCTCACATTTCTCATATGTGAATGACCATAGCAATTAATTGCTATAAATTGATATAATAGATAGCAATAAATTGATATAATGTATATAAGTTTTTATGTATACTACCATATGGGTAATAGGTATTTAATAAACATTGATTTATTAAATAATGAATGAATGGTGAATTTAACCACTCTGACGATGTTTCCATGCTATCATGGTGACAACTCAATTCTTGGCATAAGTTGTTACCTATTGAGAATGCATTTGGTTCCCAGCATGTCTCTCTGGAGCTTCCCATAATATAATTTTGGCAGTGTGACATGTCTCTGTCATGTGGGTTCCATATTTGCCTTTACACTTCCAAATTATATTTGTATAAGGCCACCCCATTCTTGTTGTGGTTTCACATTTGTAGGTTTCATAAACTGGGCAGTGGTCTGATGTGTGCAGGAAAACTCACAAAGCCTTAGAGTGGAATAAAAAACATTTTCAAAGACCCCTGCTGGCTCAGTCAACCCTAATGAGCTATTAGGTCATTAGAGACTCTTTGCCATCAATTAGTCATTAGATCAGCAACCATTCATTGATGACAGCGTTCTCCTCCTTAAAGGGACAGTACTATTAGAATGCAAATGAGCTGTTGCTGGCATCTCTGAAACTGAAAAAGTAGTTCCAGTTTGCCTTTTCAGCTTGTCAATTACTCCAAAATCTGAAGTGCGGCCTGAGCCAGAATAGCTGCTTAAATTTTCAGATTACTTTGATTTAGTAAGAATTTCCAGCTAGGCATGGTGGCTCACACCAGTAATCCCAGCACTTTTGGGAGGCCAAGGTGGGCAGATCCCTTGAGCCCAGGAGTTTGAGACCACCCTGGAAAAGACATGGAGACCTCATCTCTACATAAAAAACAAATAAAATTAAAATTAGCTGGGCATGGTGGTTCATACCTGTGATTCTAGATGTTTGGGAGACTGCAGTGAGAGAATGGCTTGAGCCTGGGAGGTCAAGGCTGCAGTGAGCCGAGATCGTGCCACTGCACTCCAGCCTGGGTAACACAGTGGGACCTTGTCTCAAAAAAAAAAAAAATCCAATGAAAGAAGATTAATCTTAATATATTTTACATATAGATATATAGCTCAGGTGGGGTAAGACTGGCTCAAATTCTTTTGTCCATGTGCTGTATGAATCTCTCATTGCCTTGCCCATGATTTCTATGACTTTGCAGGGGCTCATGTTCTCTTGGTCCCTTCCTGCAACCTCTCGTTCTGGCTGACCTCTTATTTCTTGGACCCCAAGGTTATTCTCATTTCTCTGCCCTGTGGCCACCAAGATACTGCCAGTTTCCTTGAGGGCCTCCAATCACTACTCAATGCAATGTATATAGACCTATAGTGACAATTCCATGTGTGTGTAGGAGATGGTACCTATGAATCCAGCTTTACAAAGTAGTAATAATTTACAAATCCAGCTTTACAAGAATTGAATATTGGACATCATTTTTTATAATAGTTCCTCTAACATGCCCATGCTTATGTAAACCTTTCTGTCAGTTTTCTTCCTAAATGTCTCCCAAGCACTGACTAGCAGCTCGTCTGTCTGTCAAAACTCTCCTCTCCTTTATCTGCTTTTCAGGCTGATCCCAGAACCTCAAAATTCCTCCAACGTTATCATGCAGAGCAATTTACCTCTGTCTTGGACCACATCTAAACACCATCAAAATGGTCTAAGTATTTGCTAAAATAAAGGCAGTTCTCTCCCCTAAGAAGAATTCTGCCACAGCTCAGCAAAGATACTTTCCCCCCAATATTTGTGATATTTGTGCAAGTTATTCAAAGATTATGAGCATTAACACTTGGTTATCTCATTATTTTCAGGAGTTATGTTGGAGAATTCCATTATCCACTCTTTATCCACCAAGGCATTGCACTTCCTGGAATGAACCTTGGTCTGCCTTTTTTGATTATAGGTGAAACCAAGGTTTGTTTCTGTGGGAATGCATTTCTGAAGTTACAATGAGCGAATATGATTTCCAATCTATAAATATTCATTTAAAAATGCTTCTTGGCTATGTTTAAATGAAAGTAAGTTTTATTACCTTTAATAAACTGGTAAGAGTGCTTTGGGGGAGCATTCTTCTGCTGGGGATGTCCAGGAGTCAGTGGGAAGATGAGTCCTCTTTTGAAGTGGATAGAATTGAGTTGTGTGATTCATTTCTGCCTTAGAGTAGTAGTTACTCCAAGACTCCATTGCTAGCAATTTTTACTTGAGAGTGCTTATTAACTTTAGTTCGTTTATCTTCAAATTTACTTTAATGTTCTGCAGACAGTATTATTGTTTAGTTCTCTCCATAAAAAAAAATTAGAACTGCAGGGTAAAGCTTGCATATTCTTGCAGGTAAAATGTCATGATTCTCTAATATTAATTTCTTTAGGAATCCCGGGATGGTACTTAGCAATAATGACAATAATTGCTTTACTGATTTTTTTTCCTGATTTTTTTACTTTATGAGAGTAGCAATGCAAAGCCCTACTTGTGCATTATCTTCTGTCTTCTCATACGGACTCTACGAGGCAGGCATTATATTAACCCCTATTCTGTACTTGAGGAAACTGATCTCATGTCACTTATATATCACTGTTTTTGGGGAGGGCTTCCCTGGCTTCCCCTGTTCTTATGCCTGTCGTGCTTTATTGTTAATGCTTGTCTGACTGTTTACCCCACCAGGTCAGTGTGGAAAGGAATCATATCTATGTCAACACCTGCTACCCACTCAGTGCCTGGTATACAGTAGGTGCCTAATAACTATTTGCTGACAGAATGAGTGGATGGATGAATCCATGTAGGGAGCAGGAGTAACTCACTCAAAGTCAATAATGAAGTAGCAGAACTAAGACTCTACCCATGGCTGCAGGACTCCCAAGCCCAAGCTCTTACATGTCATGCAGAGGTTTCCTCCACCTCCTTTCCCCCAGCTCCCAAACCAAAACAATACCTTAATGTGTACAAGAAAACAGATCCTGTCTGTTGCCAAACACACACCTTTAATTATCTCTTTGTGGGAATTTCAACTCCACGGCATAGCATCTTTCATCTTTGGGAAAAGGCTGAATTCCTCCGAGGCTCTGTACTGGGAGCTCTTTACTGAGCAGGGTGTGAAGTCATAAAGGAAGACAAAGATAAAGGCACTGCCCTCAAGAAGATTTGAATCTAAAGCACTGGGTTGATACCACTCGGAGCCGTGTAAGAAGCCCAGACCAAGACTCATCCAGTCTGTGGTCAG